CCTAGGGACCCCAAAGAAGCTGATAAAGCAGCAATCTGCTTCACCAGCTTCTTCTCCCGAGAAAGTGCACATCTCTCCGCCGATCACTAGACCTGGAAGTGATCACCGGCTGGAAGCTTGCTGATCACCCAGCGATCGATGAGGGGAGACCCACCTTGCCGGTCCCAGGCACGTATGGGGGGCAGAGGCACCCGGGGTTAGCCTGTTGCGGAGCACACATTTCGCTGCACGGTACAAGCGATCCGGCAGCTGTATAGCCACCGGATCGCTTGTATCTGAACAGCCTGCACCGGCTGTTTACAACTGCACCAAGAAAACGGCTGCAGTGTTCTTAGTATAACCACTTCAGGAGCCGGACGTTTATTTACGGCCGCCAGTTCTGAAGCAGTTAAGTCAGGGGTGGACAAATAATATGTAATTCAGGGGCCAGTCTGTTTAATCCAGGAGCCACAGAATTGTTTAGGCGTCAGCTCCATTGACACTAAGTGAAAACCTCAAAAGTTAGGTGCCAGCTGAAATTTTGGCACCTGGGATTTGTCCAGTCCTGCCTTAAGGATATGCCAACCACAGACATTTTGTTTAAAAGGGCCCAGGCAGTCTTTTAGGAATCAATACACTGTAAAGGTGAGGAAGACATTTTTTTGTTTTAAAGTGTGTGCCTATCCAGAAGGTTGATATTCCATAGAATCTGCCAGAGAAATAAAAAGGCAACACTTTTTTTTTCTAGTTTTAGATACAGGGGTTTGAACCCTTGATAGTATTTTCTATGTCCCTCCCTGCTAGGGAAACCCCTCTCTCAATTTGACTGGTGACCTAGTATAAGTGAAATAAAATCTAACTTCTGAATTGTCAACAGAACATGAGTTGAGGGGAAATCTTTTGAAGGGAACACTTTTTTTTTTTTTTTTACAGCCATCTAAAATGTAATTTACTGCACTCTGGAGAGGTTTCCCCTTACTTTCTATTGTGACGAGTATGTTAAGTCTCTCAAATGGCACACAGATGTCAAAAAAAAGAAACATTACACGAGTTTGATTAATTCTCTACTCTACTACTATCCAAAATTTAAAAAAATGGCTTTACATAAACTTTAGGGCCACTCCTAGCCGTTAAGTCCTCCCCTTTAGATATGAAAGCTATAAGGTTGGGCAGTGGAAATGTTTGGTGACAGACACAGTATCATTCTGCAATGCTAAAAGACAATGGAGTCTTCTACGCCAATTTCCGTGCACTAACCTGCTAGTGCTGCCACTGTAATAAATGACACTCGAGCAGGCCCTAAACATGACTTTTCCAGAGTGCACTGTATTTTCAATGGACTTCTCCTTTAGAGCATTAGGTTTAGGTCATTGGCCTTAGTATAAAGAAACCTGTTCCATGAAACCTAATCCAGCTTCTTCACTGCCTCACTCATTTTCTGTTTGAAGGAATGTTCCCTGGAAACTAATCAAGTCACATCAGTATTTCTGGGTCCACTCTGTAATAGAATCAAACAGGAAAATAATACGCAATCCATTTTTTCTTCCAATAAAAGTAATGCAAAATAAAATGACAACAAGCTTTGCTCTAGTCCAGATAGTAACAGTGCACAATTTTATTCTTATCTTTCTTAGAGATGTATTTGAGAAATCAATAAAAAATACAAATGACAACAATTTCTGTAACATATCCCAGTGTATATAACAAAGGAAATGGGAATTTATGGCATTTTTTAAATAGGTTCCAAATAAAAATTTTCTGAGAAGGTAAATCCTAAACAATCTTGAACATCCACCAAAATATACAGAAACATTTACTCAAAAGAACAGTTCGACTGGAGGCAGACATTTTTATAGGATGGATTTGTTCTTTAGGCCCATCAATTCACTAGCAGCAAGAACATTTCTATGTTCTGTGCAGCATTTAAAAATGCCC